TGTGCCATAAGTTTATTGAAGCGTCATCCTCAACGACATTTATCTGGTTGTCATTCAATTGCATTTATGTCTTATACATTGTACAACATAGTTTTTTCTTGTAACTACCATAGATTATTTGAGAAGCTTTCATTGCCCATTCTTTTGTCGACTTTTATATCCTTTCTTATCAAGGACATTAATAGTAAGTAAATTTATTCTCATAACTGAAATGTGTCTAACATCTTTCAAAGTCAGCATACAACTGGTACTAGTTTATACAATAATATCACAATCTCAATAATCTATGACACATTCTTGTTTCTTATCTTAGTGCAACTAAAGTCTCATACTTTATAAGTTGTAAACAATTTTCTCTTTGAAACATAATGATATGTCACTTTTGTGTCAATTACTCACTCAATGTTGGGATTACTAATGTGATTACAATTACCATGTATACAAATCAAAGTAACTAAATTATTATCTGAATTCACTATTGCAATATTGTCATTATTTGAACTCTTGTATTTCTCATCTTTTTGCTTTTGCTTTAAGATTTTACAATATCATTTTATATGACCTGTTTTATCACAATGGAAGCACTTCACTTTATCTTTAAACTTAAATCTATGTTTAGACTTACTATAACCTTTTGAGTTTTAACCTCTATCGATGTTTCTACCCCTGTTCTCTATTACTAGAGCTTGATTTTCAAAGTCTAAATCTTTTCATCTTACTTTTTCATTAAGTATAATGTCTTTTATCATCTTTAGTGTCATCTTGTAATCAAGAGCTGAATTAAGAATAGTCATAATTAGAGTATTTCAGTTGTCTAACAATGAACCCAAAAGAAATAATACCTTCATTTCATCATTTATCTTAAGCTTTATAGTAGTTATCTAATTAAATATATCTTAAAAATCACTCAAGTGCTCTGTAATTGATCGTCCATCCATGCACTGTAAAGTTACAAGCTTTTTAACAAACATAACTTCATTAATACTTATTTTTCTTTCATATAATGCTATCGATTTTTTTCAAATAGTGTAAACATCTGTCTTTTGCACTACATGATGAAACATGTTGATATCAATCTATTTTTTAATTGTAGCCAACGTCTTTCTACCTAACTTCTTCAGCTTTCATCATTTATATTTACTGGTTTAGTCGAATCACCTAATCACTTAATATCGATTCATGCAAATCTTTGTAGTATAAATGATCTTCCATCTTAGGGTTCTAAATTAAATAATTTGATGTTGTCAATTTTATCATAAAATCCGTATCACCTTTCATGATCTTGAATAGAATTTACTTTTGTCTTGGATTATTTTTGTATCGATCTCTCAAAATAACCCTCGCTCTGATATCCCTTATTGGGCTTGAAGTAATAAACACAATAATACAGAAGCAATATATCATAATAAACTCACAGCAATAGATAACAATTAATAATAAAAAAAGCAAGAAAAATAAAGATATCAAGATTTATATAGACAACCTTTTAGTATAGAGAAAAAAATCACAGACTATTAGAAAAATCTCTGCTATCAAATAATAAATATACAATATATTTCTTTAGCTAAAACTAGAGCTAATCAACAACTAGATAGATAATTGAAGAAATCTCACAAAATAGATCACTCAACAAACACACCTTAGATTTTTTCTTAAAGAACTTCAAACCAAATTTTCACTATTCAGAATGTAAAACTCTGAATAATAACATTGCTGATAAAATTTCAACTTAATTAAACCACAAATCGACTTTTGTTCAATCAACTCTCTTTTTTTCTCTTTATTTTTTTTAACTTTTCTTCTTTCTCTTGGTTTCAGCACCACTCTCTATTTTTTTTCTACCCTAAAACTAGCCCTCACATCTTTTGTTATGTAGGGCTCTATTAGGGTAGCCTAAAACACAAGGCCTATGGCCTTTGAAAAGCCAAATAACACATGGGACTGGACCTCACATATTCCTAACAATTTAAACCTTTAAAAGGAGATTTTCATAAGAACGGTGATTGCTACCATTGATTTCCATTTCTTTCAGGTTCAACCATTGCCTTCTAAATTATCATTATTAATCATGTTGAGAGGGAAGAACTTTGAAAAGTCTTTATATAAGAAACAATCCATGGGCTTCATATAAGAAAAACCAATTGTATCAGTAATTTTCATGGCAAAAAAAGAGTTGCTCATGCAAATGACAAAATTTGGTAACAATCTCTAATATATAAGCAATGGCCAATATTTATGATCCTAACAATTATAGCCCTATATTGAAACTTCTTAGACAAAGCTCCATACAATTTATACTACTTTATTATACATCAAGCAATAAAACTACAACAAAAATGAAAATGACAAATTGAGAAGTAATGGCATCGACCATCATAATAATCATTTATTTTGACATTGTCCATTTTATCAAGTCAATATTTACTGCAAAATTATATTTAAAACACAATTAACCATTAATTAACATGTGAATTTAATTGTTGTTTGTATTATATACTGTATTTTAGGTTTAGGAGTGTATGTGATCACAAAGCCTAGTTTTCAAAACTAATTTGATACTTTTTCAAAATAAAATTGAAAAGAAAGAAAAAAATAATTGAGGAAACAACAAATGAAGGAAAAAAAGTAAAAAAGCAACAATAATAAAAATATACCTTTAAAAAAGAAGGAAATCTTTTCAGCACTTTTGTAGAAGTATTCACTGGTCAATTTTATCTACAAAAGACCCATATTGACAAAATTAGGCTTTATAATTAAATATTCTTTAATCAACTTTAACTACAAAACAACCATATTTAGAAATTATCAAAATTTAAGATTTATAATCAAATAAATTCAAATTATTTTACTAGAACTCCAAGAAAGAAATAATGAAAAAAAACCTAACTTTTGGTGGAGAAAATAGAAGCTGTGGTATTGGGGTCAAAGTTTTAAAGCAATTCATCCATTCTCTTCCTTATAACTTCAATTTCTTTAGGGCTATAACTAAAAAAAAAAAAAACAAAGGCAATTTTGAAATTTGGTTAAGTAAAACTAAGAGTAAAAAAGTAGTAGTTGTATTGCTTTTGTAAAAGAAATTGTTTTTCATTTAATTATACTAAGACATTGTAAGAAAAAATTGTAAAAAAAACAAACATTTAATAGGCATAATAGAGTAATCAAATATACAACACAAAAAAACAAACATTACATAAACTTAACAAACCTAAATACACAATAAATAAAGTAAAACAACATATAAAATAATTTATACTAATATGAAAATTAAATATCCAAAGAACTTCAACAAAATCTGAGACAAAACAAACTCTGAGACAAAAAAAAAATCAATTGAAAACAAAATCGTAACTTCATTCAAATAACATGCAAAACAAAATCTGAATCTAAAAATAAAAACCAATTACAATAACAATAAAAAAAAAGCATCATCAAAGAAAATAACAACTAAAAACTTTTTAATCCAACACAAAACATGCAAAGACAAAATCTTAAAAAAAAAAAAATACATTCACAACAACATACAAATCTTCCAACCACGTAACCCAAACACTATTAAACAATCAAATTTCATTGAACAAAATTAAAATTTGTAATACCAAAATCATCGTAACAAAACTTAAAACAAAAAATCCACATCCAATTAAATAATAACAAGAAGCAAATATTTTTACCCCAAAATACCTCATAAAAAAATAATGAAAGAAAAAACTCACACACAAAACAACATATAAAACAATTCATACTAATATGAAAATTAAATATCTAAAAAATTTCAACAACTTCGAGATAAAAAAATCAATCAAAAATAAAATCATTATTTTATTCAAACAACATGCAAAACAAAATTTGAATATGAAAAAAAAAAAAAATTCAACAACAATAACAAAATTGTCAAAGAAAATAATAACTAAAAACTGATTTTTATCTAGCATCAAAACATGCAAAGATAAAATCTTTCCAAAAAAAACACATTCACACAAACCTCCCAACTATAGAACTAAATCCTCATTCAATAATCAAATTCCATTAAACAAAATACTATGTTTCTATAAAAAAAAAAAAATTACAACACCAATAAAAATAAATAATGTCAAAGAAAATAATAATTAAAAACTGAATTTCATCAAATATCACAAGGCAAAGAGAAAATCTTCTAAAAAAAACACATTTACAACCACATCCAAATCTCATAACCATAAAATTGAAACCCTATTCAATAATCCAACTCCATTATACAAAATAAAAATGTGTAACAACAAAATCCTCTCAACAAAACTTAAAAAAAAAAACTCATGTTCAATTAAACAACATAAAAAAGCCATATATTTTATCTAAAAATGCCTTAAAAAATAAGGAAAAAAAATCAAGAAATACAGGCCAAAAAATATTTTTTTTGACGCCAAACTTTTGCTTTTTGAAACAGTAATAAAAACCTCAAAAAAAGCTTTGAAATTAAAATTAAAACAACCTTGTCAAACATTAAAAAAAAAAAAAACCAATAACCTGTTAAAGAAGCTTCTGCTTTTTGGTCCCAATCAAATATAAAAATATTGTAAAACATGTCACTTGTTCCCTTGCAAGTGTCAATGCCGAATCCCTTAAAGCTACTTTTTTACATAAGGGAGTATTGATTACAAATTATAAATTATTCAACCTAAATAATTTTAAATTGTACGATAGAATAAAAATTAAAAATTTTATTTCTTTACCGAACAGAAGATGAATAATAGAGGAATCATTTTACATGTTAAATCATTAAAAGTAGTAGTATTATTTTGAAGATAAAAACCCTACTCTTTACATAACAGTAGAGAGTATGCGTGCGGCTTATACATGTTGAACGGTTCATCTGAAAATAGAATCACTTCTTAAACTGATAACTTCTCGAGCTACCGAACAAATCTCAAAAAAAAAAAAAAAAAAAAAAGAAAAAGAAAGGACTAACAGGCAATAGTTCCCTGTTTCAATTTCTTACGGCTTTCATTTCTAGCAAAAAAAAAATGACAGATGCCACCAATAAATCAAGAACCATAATCTGCATAGGAGACATCCATGGTTACCACAACAAACTCCTCAATCTTTGGTCCAACCTCCAATCTCAAATCGACCCAGAATGTTTCAACACCGCCACCGTCATCTTCCTAGGTGACTACTGTGACCGTGGACCCGACACACGCAAAGTAATGGATTTCTTAATCTCTTTGCCGAAGCAGTATCCCAATCAGAAGCATGTCTTTTTGTCAGGAAACCATGACTTTGCTTTCGCCGGGTTTGTCGGGGTGTTGCCGGGGGAGTTTGAAGCGAAGGACACTTGGCAAGAGTATTTGGATATTGAGGAAAGAGAAGGGTGGTATAAGGGAGAAGGGTATGAAAAGATGCATTTGCAAGGGGGAGATGGGCTGGTTGGATTAAGGCTAAGCTTTAAATGCTGTCCGAAAGGGATTGAGTACAAAGGGTTCCATATATGAATCGCTGCTCCTACGTTTGAAATCTTATGGAGTATCTTCATGGATCTTCCTGGGTGATGCCATCCTTTTCTTTCTTCTTTTTTTTTTTAATTTTGGATGTTTGGGTTTCCTTTTCTTGTATGGCTTTGCTTTTGATTCATGGTGGTTTTTTAGTTTAAGGTTATTCTTTGTTTTTAGCGATAAATAAATAGGTTTTTGGCTCTTCAATGATAGTTCGGATATGTTCAATGGTATACTGAAAGATTGACATTCTTAGATATTCATTTTTCAATTGGATTATTGTGTTTGATACTCGGTCATGTAATTTAACTGAGATTGGGGTTTGAGGATGGTCAAAATATTGGGTGGGGAAATCGTTGATTCTTGATTCATTCATGGTATGATTCTAGGTTATATATTTTTTAAGGAAAGAATGATTGTAATTAGATATTAGTTAGGTTTTTTGCGATTTATAATTATTCTCCCTTAAATATGTCAAAGTTTTTTTTTTTTTGCCTTGGATAATCTTTATTCCGTATCTATACTTTAAATGAATGAGGAGTTTTTTTGTCTACAGATTTTGATCATGGCTGTCCTGAACGATCACAAGAAATTTCTAGCTGATATGGTTTAGGGTTCATGAAGAGGTAATTCCTTTTCAGCTCTAGTTCTTCTTCTGTCCTTTCTTCTCTCTCTGGTATTCCTTCTTCTCTTTTGCTTTTCTTAGCTTTTAGAAACTGAATGTGATCAGAATGTGCTAAATGCTTTAACAGGCAAATTGCAGAAAAGTAAGTTAGTAAGCACTTCTTTAGTTTCCTGGAACAATAATGTGCAGGTTAGCTATGATGTTATAGTCTGAAACTAGAGTCAAGGTGGGATACTTAGTTGAGGTGTTTTCAATGTGCAGGATGATGTCTGTAATGGGAACAGAGGAAGGACTTAAAACATTGTAAATTGATTGCTGTACATGCTGGTTTAGAGAGAGGTAAAAATGTCCAAGAGCAGCTGGAATTTTTGAAAGCCAGAGACAGCCGTGTGCCCAAGGTAACAGATCTCAGCGGGAGGAAAGATGTTTGGGATATCCCCAAGGTAATGAATGGTTCACTACCTATGACACAGCTCTTATACATCTTTGACATTGTTTTTCTTATGCACACACACACACACACTTGATATTCAACTTCTTAATTACTACTTTGCAGCTTAATTTTGGAGGCTTAATAACATGATTCTCATGATACAAAGTTGAGATGTAAGTATTGGTGTTGAATGTCTTGCAGGAGCTAACTGAGACAATTGTGGTAAGTGGTCACCATGGGAAACTTCACATAGAAGGTCTTAGGCTGATTATTGATGAAGGAGGAGGAATGGAGAGTAATCCAGTGGCTGCAATCGTGCTTCCTTCAATGAAGATAGTCCGTGACACGGATAATTTTTCTTAGTTTCAAGTTTCTAGAAGATGGTCATCAGATATCCACTTACTTTCTGACATGATCCCTTGTTCTTGGGACATTAAGTATCTCCAAGCCGGTAGAAATAAAAGTGAATTTGGATGCACTTATTAGGTAATTTTTCTTCTAATCTGTTTATTATGTCGTCAATTTACAGATTATATGGAAACCGATTACTGGTCTTTAAATTTCCTAAATGGATAATTCTGCAAGTTGTCCAATATGTTAATAGCATATGTTCTGTATTGGATGGTTCATGTGGGTTGGAATTTTGGATAAAGAAGAGACATATCAATGATTATGTTCAGTAGGTTTTGGAAAGAATTTATGAAACATCTTGGTTTTGAAACAAGGCAAATGCACAAAAACTGCCGTCCATCCTTTAAATTGGTTAAAACTTGAAAGACTATATGCCATATATACAACTTTTCATCACAACAAAAGTTATTGAACAGAAATTGTGAGTGGTTTTAAGGATTCTATGAAACAAACACAATGGCATTTAAGGTCATATCAAGATGTGGATTTGCATATTTTATAATCAATGTTGCAATATAAAAGAAATGAATAGAATGCATCCCCTCCCTTTGTATTCCCACAAAGGAAAAATGAAAAATAAAAAAGTTTTTCACTCGTAGTCAGAACTTTCAGAGCTTGATCCATTTCGTTTATGATCAACAGCACCATCGGCCACAGCTCCGTTTCTCTTTGAATCTTTTTTATCCTCTTCATCTTTGCTGTATTCACCCTCATAATCATCATATCCATCTTCTTCTGCTCTTCTCCTCAATCCCCTCTACCATGGCAGCTCCCTCTTCTGACAAGGGACCTCTCAACCTGCTCTGACACCGTTTCAATATTTTGATCTTCAAGTTTGTCTTCTTATCACAACCAATCCAAGAGTCACACAAGCAGAAAGCAATCTAAGTTATAATTTGCCTCAGCAGGAGCCTGGAACTTGCCCATTACTAACCTTGACCCACTCTCAACATCTTCTCTAACGGCTGCATTTGTCTCCTTCAGGCTTGCCCGACCCTTCCTTCAACCGTTGCATTTCTTTAGATGCCGCTGTTATGGCCACAGCCTCATCCATGAAGCTCACCTTCTGGGAGATCCAAACATTATTGGAGACAGATTCAGCAAGCAGTAACCAAAAAATCTCCTCGTGGAAGAGGAAGGAACATGAGGAAGAGCAGCAACAAGGCCACTCGCACGCTTGAGTGTGATCCAAGCATGCATTGTGACAATATCACCCTCTTGTATCCCCTCTTCACCTTCTGTCTTCCACGTGAAATCAATTGTCAAGGAAGGCATCATTCCTAGAACCAGCTCCACATCTTTGGTTTCAGCAGTAGATAAACCTGCAACCTGAGCAAGTAGTTCAACTCGAACTTCCAAGGTCCATGTCACGAATCTTGAAACATTCATACTTTCTGCAACATAATGACAGGGAATTTTCAAACCAAAGAACAATAGGAAACCGATGCAAAATTTCAACAATGACGTGTCCTATGATTCATGCATGTTACATCACAACATCAAAGCAATATCTTGTTTTGTAGAGCATTTGCCAATCTGTACAAGCAACAATGTAACATTTTCACCACCTTTCTAAGATGATTGAACCTTTTCCAACAGTGAAAATTTTCAATCTAAAGTCTCTGAGGCTTTAGCTAATGAATCAGGGTTTTGATCAAATAACTTAATCCAAAAAATGATCAAATGGTTGAGATAGAGCGTGTCTTGAGATATAGAAAACTAACCAAGCACCAGACCAATATAACCCAAATAGTAGCCTAGATATAGGTGGCAACATAGAATTACTGTAGATGCATCGAGACTCTTTAGTAAGTCAAAAAAAAAAAAAAGAGTAAAAAAAAGTATATCTCTACCTTCCATGTTATCTTTTTGACCATGGCCTCATTAAAATGAGGCAGCTGTAGAAAGGGTGCAACACCTTCACTAGATCCTCCAGCAATCTTTCGAGCACTTAGCGGAAGTGCCTGATTCAATCAATAAATAAATAATTAAAAATAAAAAAAAAATCGATCACTTCGTTGAAAGATATAGCCGCTTTAGAAGAATACCTCTCTCTTCTAATAAAAAGAAAAGAGAATGACTAGGCATAACAGTATTAGAACAAATAGCAGTGAAGGCCAAAGCTGTAGAATTATTAGAAGAAAATGTTTACAAATAGGGATTTGGTTTGAAATTGTCAGTGAAAAGGCAGGAAACAAAACTTTGACATGTTTGGTCAAGTGCAATAGGAATAAAAAAATGACTGGTCAAGGGTGCACACACATTGGCAACAGGTATGATGGTGGTGCTACACCAAAATGTAATATTCCACTTCAATCTCTAGTAAGCAATACAGCCTGCTAATTTTGGGTCCGTTTAGGAAGCTGAACGTTTTAGAAGAGAAAAACTTGTACTCACCTATATGCCAAGGGTATGCAAAAGCAAACAATCTAATATTTATGATGAATAGACATACCTTCTAATTAACATTTTTTACTTTGATATGTTGCAAATGACTATATAAATGGAGGTAACTAAACATAATATTAGCATCAAAAGTGGCACCATTAAATCATTCACAAGGAAAACCCCAAATTTTCAGACAAACAAATAGATTCCAAACCAAGGAACATATATAGACTTACCTGAATGATATTCTGAGAGAGCTCAACTACACCAATCACAGGTCTTAACCATCCGTCCCCTTGAGCAGTTCGTGGTATTAATGCCATCTGTATTCATATATAACATACTGACTGATACAACTTCCAAAGAATGCAGAATTTATTGAGTTGCGAGCATCACTTTTTCAGAAAAGTAGAATAAGATGGCAGAGAACCTAGTAAACATACTCACACAGCAGTGCCTGCTACAAAGCAATACGGCTTTGCAGCCTAGGAATTTCAAAACATTAGGGCCTAGCGGGCTACAAGATTATGATTAGGATGAGGGGCTGCAGTGGATTCTGAGACCAAGTTGTTTTATTTCACTTCTTCACAAAAGAAGCTGAAGATAGTAAAGGCAATGATTTCTTAGACAATCCTTCAAAACCCTTAGATGCCCCAATAATACCAAAAATTTTCAAGAACTGTTCTTATCAAAATGTTTGAATGTGGATGAATGTGCGAGAGAGATGATTTTCAAATATTGGTGTAACAAATTCATTAATGTGCTAGTAGAAGAGCTGAGAAATCTAAATTGGCCTTCATTAGTTCCTCAAGAAGGTGGGGTGAAAGCTCAAGCATGCATCTAAAATCACGCAGCAAAGCTGGAGTCAGGGCTGCAGACTTATGAGTCAACTAGGCCTGGATCAACAATTCTGCCTGAAAAGTGGAAGGTAAGGTAAAGTAGAAGAATCATAAGACCTAATTCAGAGTGCTTGAAATAAGTAAGAGATACTAGATGAAATAGAGAAAGGAATGAATGTAGCCACCTTTACTAAAGCTGGGTGCTGCGTCCACCTTTTACACTCTGACTTCAAGTCTCTACCATGTCAAGCACAAACTAGGAATAAGAGAAAAGGAGCCTGCCATCAACCTAGTTGAATTGTTGTCTGTTGGGGAAATTTTGAGACATTACTGAAAAAATTGTCATTCCAAGGTCTCTATATATTTAGAAACACAAAGTAATAGTTATTTATGATTGTTTCACACTAAACATCAAGTAGCAAATCAATATGGAGAAAAATCATACCTCGGAGCTAAAGAAGCTTTCATGAAGTAGTAGTTGGTAGACAATGTTTGATGCATCACATAATTTCCAGTATATTTAGCTGATCTTGAGCGATATATAACAGCCCACTATAAAGGCAGAAGAATGCATACTCCAACTATTCCCAGCAGAAGTATTCCAGCCGATGCTCCATTATTCATCAGAAATGGAGGTAGGGCTATACCCATTTGAAGACCATAAATTATGAACGCAATGAAAATTGGCAAAAAATTCAGAATCAAACTCTCTCATTCAGGAACTGGTATTCTGCCAGAATGAAAGATGAAACAAGAAGTTTGTTACCTGCCTGCCATCTGGGTGGCCTTCTTTTCAAAATTCTCCCGAGAGACTGGTCTGGCAAGGCTTGATAAGCCTTTGAAATGTATTCAACAAAATACTCCTGGGCTGATGAAAGGGCAGGAGGAAAAAGTGGAGAGGTATTAGGTCTTCAAAAAGAAAAAAAGAAAATCAATATGCAGCGAAAACCAGATATGGAAACAAGAGTAGTGAACAACAAATAAAACTTATAACATGGACCTGGATCTTTATCAGGACGATACTGTATGGAAAGTCTCGTATACGCCTTCTTTATGTCTGAATCAGAGGCCCCAGATTCTAAATCAGGAAAATAAAATGAATCGAACCATGTTCTACCATGAGAAACAGCTGAGGCACACCACGTGCAGAGTATACAATGTCGATGAAAAAAAACAAACTGATAAAAGTAAAGGTTGCTTGCACTGATATGTCATCCAGATATTAACATATGAGTTATGACCATTCATTCCACATTAACAAAATCAATTAGGAGAGAATGCATGTCTGAACTTTCTCAATCCACACATGACATTAAGTTCTTTGCCTCAAACCCGAATTTCCAACATATAAAGGATGAGGTAGCAGCTAACTACAAGATTAATAATGTTCTCATCAGATATGAAGAACAAATGGAGTACCTCATGAATTGTAAGCTTGATGTAGTATATCAGCATCACCATGACAATCCAAAGAAGTACAACTGTCAGATTACTAAATTTTGAGAAGTTCGATATCTGCAAAAGCAATCCAAAGTAGCACAAATACTACTCAAATACCATTCCTGACAATGAATAAAGTGATATTGGAAGCAAATTTACCCATCTGAAATTAGATTTCCTACACTTCCCGCAGCAAGAACACATGGAACACTGGCATTGGATAGTCAATTGTCTTCTTCGAGAATGAATATAATATCATAACTAGAGAGTACGGCACCAATGGCAGAGCCATCCCATTATAGTCAACACAAGGATAGGGAACAATGCAGTGTTCTCCTCCGACACAGCCACATCGACCTTTTCACTTTAAAAATAGAACTTAACGAATTGTTTTCTTCTTTATATAACTCTGTTATAATATTTTGACAAACGATCAACACCTATGCATTTCTCTTACCCATTCCAAACAATCAAAAAGATAATCAGAAAAATACAGCTAAAATCTCAATTCAGAATATGAGAAATTCTCTCCAGCAAGGAAATAATTTCGGCGGAAACGAAAAATTGTTGAACTTGAATTAGAAAGGAT